ACCCCCAAGACCCAGACGCGTGGTCGCAGCAAGACCATCACTGCCATCAAGGCACCTGCACCTGAACCAGCTCGTAAGTCACCCGAGGTTTATTTTTATCATTGTCTGACCTTAGGTTTGCATTCTAGCTCTTCTGGCCTCGAGTTTGGCAGTCCCGGCTGCAGCACGTGGCCCGGCAGTCCCTGCTGCAGCACTTGATGTGCCCATGCCGCGTGTGGCAGAGCAGGATGGTAAGATTGATACCCTGCAATGCCTTCATGAAGGCCTTAGGCGCGAAATCATGCTCTGGCACCCCTCATTCCCACTGCCCAATCCTCCTGCCAATGCATCATCCTTGTTGCTTGATCAATCTGGCCCCCCCACCATGTCACCCGCCGAATCTGCACTCCCACCTCTCATTGATCTCACAATGGAAGGCATTGCTCTCCACAACTGCAACTGCAACAGTCCCGGATGCCTCTGCCATTGATGGCCTCCTGTTTGATTACAACCAAGTTGCTCATCCAGAGGATCCAGATGTGTCTGGCGAAATTGTGGACCCAGGTGATCCGAGCAACCTTGTCCCAGAATATAACTCCTCCGATGACATGGATGTTGAGGTTGAGGTGAAGGTTGAAGAGTCTTCTGAGGAGGTTGACATGGCTACATAATTGCATAGTGATAGATGTATATACAAGTTTTCAATGAATGTAACCTCTGCCAGTCCATTGATTGAGTGACTGAGTTCCCAGTACCGACACCCGACACCCGAGATTCGGTACTCGGTGATTCGTGTGTATCATCAGTACTCAGGTGTCGGGTGTCGGGTGTCGGGTGTCGGTACTCGACTCAAAACTCGAAACTCGAACACATGAATCCAATCTCGGGTGTCGGTACTCGGTACTTGGTACTCGGGTGTCGGGTGTCAGGTGTTGGGTGTTGGGTGTTGGGTGTTGGTACTCGATTCGAAACTCGAAACTCGAATCTTGAAACTTGAAACTCGCATAAATCTGAGTACCGACACCCAACACCCGACACCCGAGTACCGAGTACCAAATCTCAGGTGTCAGTACTCAACTCGAAACTCGAAAGTCGCAACTCGAATCTTGAAACTTGAAACTCGCATAAATCTGAGGTTCAAATCCCGAGACTCGAATCACCGAGTGCCGAGTACCGAGTACTGAATCTCGGGTGTCGGTACTTGGTACTCGGTAGTCAGCACTTCGTTTCAGGTTTCAAATTTTGAATGTCCACACGAATCAACCAAATCTCGGGTGTCGGTACTCAGGTGTCGGGTGTCAGGTGTTGGTACTCGACTCGAAACTCGACACTCAAACACACAAATCACCAAGTACCGAGTACCGAATCTCGGGTGTCAGTACTCGGGTGTTCGGGTGTTGGGTGTTGGGTGTCTGGTACTTGACTCGAAACTCGAAACTCGAACACACGAATCACCAAGTACCGAGTACCGAATCTCGGGTGTCGGGTGACAGGTGTCAGGGTGTCGGTACTCGATTCGAAACTCGAATCTTGAATCTTGAAACTCGAGACTCGTATAAATCTGAGTTTTGAATCCCAAGACTCGAATCACCGAGTACCAAATCTCGGGTGTTGGGTGTTGGGTGTCGGGTGTCGGGTGTCGGTACTCGACTCAAATCTCAAATCTCAAATCTCGAAACCCGAAACTCACATAAATCTTAGTACTGACACCCAACACCCGACACCCGAGTACCAAGTACCGACACCCAACACCCAACACCTGAGATTCGGTACTCGGTACTTGGTACTCGGTGATTCAAGTCTTGGGATTCGAAACTCAGATTTATGCGAGTTTTGAGATTTCAAGATTCGAGTTTTGAGTTTTGAGTTTTGAGTTTTGAATCGAGTACTGACACCCAACACCCAACACCCGACACCCGAGTACCGAGTACCGACACCCAAGATTCGGTACTCGGGTGTCGGGTGTTGGGTGTCGGTACTCGATTTGAAACTCAAAACTCAAAACTCAAAACTCAAATCTTGAAACTCAAAACTCGCATAAATCTGAGTTTCGAATCCCAAGACTCGAATCACTGAGTACTGAGTACCGAGTACCAAATCTCGGGTGTCGGGTGTTGGGTGTCGGTACTCGATTCGAAACTCAAAACTCGTATAAATCTGAGTTTTCACGATATTATGTCTGTACATCGTCAGTAAGTATACAAACAACGACTGACGAAAAACTGCTATATGACATGGAGCTATCTTCCAAAAATATATACAGCTGTGCGTGAGGATGGAAAGGGAAGAGAAAACACAGGTGATTTGGGGTGATTTGGAAGAGGGGAATGAAATGGCGGTAAGATTTGAGATGGAGAACACGGGTGAAGAGAGGAATACAAATGTGAATGAGAGTAGTACAACGGAACAGATTCGGGGTAAACCCTTAGCTAAGAGTTGCAGATGAGACTCATGTCAGCCAGCAACAAGACTCGCATAGTAGAGTCGATTACAGATGAAGCAGGGGAGTTGAATGGGATGATGTATCGAGACTCTAAGAGTCAAAGCCGTGTGAGTGCCTTAAGCGAGCATGACTCGGTACTCGGTACTCGGGTGTCGGGTGTCGGTACTTGACTTGAAACTCGAAACTCCTATATGATACGTATCTGGGCCCACCCATCTGTCTAATATTACCTGACGTTGGCCCACCCGTCTAGGTAAAATTCCCCACTTTGGCCCACCTGTCTATCTAATATTTCCCTACGTCGGCCCACCCATCTATGTTATAAATATTTCACCTCACCCTCGGCCCACCCGTCTATCTAATATTAACCCACGTCGGCCCACCCGTCTATGTAATAAATAATTTGCCTCACCCTCGGCCCACCTGTCTACCTAATAATACCCCACGTCGGCCCACCCGTCTATTTAATATTTCCCTATGTCGGCCCACCCGTCTATGTAATAAATATTCCACTGCTCCCTTGGCCCATCCGTCTATATAATAATATTTGCTATACATCTCTCCTCAGGTCTATAATATATGTCAATCCTACTCTACATATTACCCATATGGGCCCACCCATCTCCATAATAATATTTCTCCCGGCCCATCCGCCATCGTCGATGATATATATAACATCAGCATAGATGGGCCCACCCGTCAACATCGGAAATAATATTTCTCCCGGCCCACCCGTCAACATCGGGAATATACATAACATTGGCCCATAATCCGCTGGCCCGTATTACACAGGATATTATGTAGGTCGGGTGACCCGTATAGTACGGGATTTGTCACTGAAGGGGCTCATCTAGCTGCCCAGCGTGCCCTCTCGGCATTGTTGTTGACGTTCCACAGCGCTGTTAAGGACCGGATGGCTTGTGCTTTGGTTAGTCCTTCGTCTATTAACTGCTGTTGTTCTTCTTGAAATTCTTCCAGTGCGTAGTCTGGCCTAATTACATTGTTTGGATCCATACCGGCTATGTAGATAGTATTATTGAAGCAAAAATACTTAGGCAATAGTTGTCGGAATGAAAATGATGGACGACTGCGAGGTGGTCAGAAGCAAAAAGATTTCTGCGCCACCTCGCTTATTTGCATGTAGACTACGTTCTGTGTTAGCCTCGTGCCTCGGCTAACTCAGAAAACCAGCCATGCATTTCAAGGACAAGATCTGCAAGATCTTATCCTGTGGTCCTGCTTGCAGTGTTATAGCAACAATCCCTCAGGTAGAAGGACTTTATAGTGTCGCAGCTCACAGTCAGCATCACGCACACATTGCCAAAGGAAAACTCACTGTCTGTGAACTGCATCACATCCTGGGGAATGTCTCCTAAATGGCTGTCTTGAATGTGGTCAAGAAGAGGCTAGTCAATGGTGTTGAGCTAGACTCTGCCTTGCAGCCAGAATTCTGTGATACATGTGCCAAGGCCAAGGCTACACATCAGCCTTTCCCAAAGAAGTTGAAGATGCATACCGAGACCTATGGTGAAGTTATTCATACCAAAATCTGGGGTCCTGTCAGGATGACAAGTCTTGGTGGTAGCTTGTACTACATGACCTTCATGGATGATTTAAGCCATCAGATGAAGGTACACTTCCTAGCCAACAAGAGTGACACACTTGATTCCTACAAACAATACAAAGCATGGCTCTTGCCCCAGCAGGAGGGAACTCAAGTCAAGATACTGTGTTCAGATCATGGAGGAGAGTACCTAAGTTGAGAGTTCAATAAGTATCTGCAGGAGCAGGGGGTGGAGAGACAACTCACCATCCATGACTCACAGCAGCAAAACGGCATAGCTGAATGTCTAAATTGGACCCTTGTAGAGCATGCTAGGGCTATGCTAATCACCCGTGATCTCCCAAAGTTTCTCTGGAGCAAGGTGGTTAATTATGCTGCATGGTTAAAGAACCACTTACCCTCTTGCATGATACCCAATCACTCTTCTTATGAACTTGTCCATGGGCAATGTCTGTCCTTAGTGCAAGCTCATGAGTTCAGATGCCCAGTGTATGTGCATGTAGGTGATGCTGGCAAGTTGGAGGCACAAGCAGAGGAGGCTGTTTTTGGTGGCATCGATGAGCAAAGCAAGGGCTATCACATCTATTGACCTGAAAAGAGGAAGGTGTTATTTGAATGGAACATCACATTTGTACCTTCAAGCATGGTTGTTGCTGATAGAGTCCAGTCCAAGGGGGAGTCTAACTCTCCCAGCACAGTTAGCATCCAGGCCTCCTCAACTCCCACCACTCCAACATCAGGAAAATGTGGTAAGGCTATATAGCCACCCATAGCACTATGGACTGCTATACAGACTCCATAGCCCTATAGCTCATATAGCCAAGTGCCCAATTGTGCAGGCTTACTACACCAGTGTATAGTGCTATATAGCTCTATTAAAGTTGCTATAGCTGGGTGGAACATACCACAACTATTGTAACTATTGTAGCTCTTATAGCTCAAAACACAAAGCAAAAATTTCTCTTAATAGCTGTTTGTTGCCATGATAGTGTTCTCAAAATTAAAAATTAAAAAAAAGCGAAAATTCCAAATTATATTTCAACTACTACAATACATGTAAACTAATAACTACAAAACAGGCAAAAATGCGAAAATTACAGGAGGAAGAGGCAAGAGAACTAGAAGGAAGAATCAGAGAGAAAGAACTTACCAAATAGTGAAAATTGCGAAAATTCTTGAGGGAAGAGGAGGGAAGGGAGCTAGAAGGAGAGGATTAGACAGGAGGAAGTGAGAGTCAGAGAAAAGACTTGCCAAATGGTCAAAAATGCGAAAATAGTTGGGGGGAGGAGGAGCAGGAGGGAAGAGAGCTAGAAGGAGAGGGTTAGAAAAAAGATTAGTCAAATAGTCAAAAATGCGAAAATTATGGAGGGAGACTTACCAGAGTTCAAAGCACCAGCACCAGTACCAGCACCAACAACATCAACACCAAGAGAAGGATAGAGAAGCAAGAAGAAGAGAAGAGAGGCAAAAACTCGAAAATTGTAAGAGAAATATGGAAGATAATCTAATGAGGGGGCAGTGGGGGGGAAGGAAATAATGGGAAAAGACTTGTTGGTTGACCGCATTTTTGCTTACATAAGCAGTGCCAAACAAAGCCACAACACAAGACTTGGTGAATTTTCGAGTTTTTGCTTATTAGGACTAGGATTATGACAGTAAGAAAAAGACAATGAAATTGACTGTTAGCATTAGGATTTTGAATACACATAAGGTGAATTTTCGCATTTTTGCTTACATAAATAAGGTGTACCTTGACACTTTTGAACCCTTCAATTCCAAGTATTTTCCTTATAACTCACTAAGATCTTGACCTATTGAAGTCATTAGACTATGGATAGACTTCCCTTGACAAGGACTACAACTTTGATTTAATCGAAAAAGGTTCCCACGGTCAAGTTGCTTTCTTGAACCCTTCGATTTCGAGTATTTTCCTTGTAACTCACTAGGATCTTAACCTATTGAAGTCATTAGACTATGGATAGACTTCCCTTGACAAGGACTACAACTTTGGTTTTCATTGAAAAAAGTTCCCACAGTCTACTGGGGTCTATAGTTGTTGAAATGTTTTACTTCTAAATACACTTACCAAACTTTATGGTAATATAGACTTTCATGATGTCTATACTGGTCTATAGCGCTGTGATAGCTTGTGATAGACTGTATAGAGCTGTGGTGTGCTATCGGGGCTATATAGAGGATGGTCCTCTATATAGAGATACAGTTTTTCCTGATGAAAGCCCCCATCCACGCCTCCCAGAGTATTGCAGCACCTTGAAATACCACCAGCACCACACATCACCAGAATCCAACCACTGCCAGGATACTATGCAACCCTCAACCAGGGGGAGAATGCTTCCCTTGCAGCTGAAAGCAACTTCAAGCCTAAAGAATCAGACTTCATTAATGAGGAAGTACTTTCTTACCAGCAGTATGCAATGGCCATGGTAGATGTTATATACCTGATCCAACCGCTCCTCTGATATTAATATCTGCTCTGCCCAACCCAGTCAGCTCCTGCATCAGCTCCTATGGCTCCGCTCGACTGCCTCATCAGTTGTCTTCTGCATCGTCCATTCTACTGTAAACTCCTTTCCCCATTTAGGTATATACATTCCCCATTTTCACTTAGTACTTACTTCCCGGATCACTGGTACTTCCAATAACCTGCTCGACTAACTGATCTGACGCATACATATTGATGTCCACTCCAACTTATATTTTCCACCTGTGTTCACTTACAAATTGTATACTTAGTACATAGCCTCATACCAAGGACTACTAGTCACTGCCTCCTACATAGAAGTATATAAAAACACCTCCCATACATAGCTACTCCCCAGTCTTAATATTACTTGTCTTCCCACTGTCTCTACTAGCAGGAATTCTCCATAGGACTTTTCTCCCTCTCTGGACACAAGTTTACCTTGTTGTCACCTCTGACCCTCCGCCCCGACTTAGAGCCGCTCTCTAAGCACTTACTCTTACTTCTCTGACCTCATCATTCCATCCCCTTACTCCCCTCCATCCCAATAAACTTCCTCCACCTCCCCCACTCCACTCCTAGTCAGATTACCACTAGTAGCACTTACCTCCCAACTCACCAAGTGGACCAAAGCAGTCTGCCCATCCTATCATCAGACCTGCTCCAAATTCAGGGCATGTACTCGGCTAAGGGCGCAGTGCAAGAACTGAAGCCAAGCCCCGACCCCTCCACTTCTCCATCCGAGCATAGTCTCTAACAGTAGAACAAGAAGTCACACTTCAGCAAGCGTTGAATGGTTCCAATGCCATAGAGTGGCAAGAAGCAATTGACTATGAAATCAGTCAGCTGGAGAAGTTGGGTACATGGGAAATTGTTGATGCACCTGTGGGCACAAACTTGATACCATGTCATTACATCTTGGTGATGAAATGCGGACCCAATGGCGAGAAGGTAAAGCTACAAGCTCAATTAGTAGCAAATGGCCAGTGCCAGAAGTATGGAATCTATTACTTTGACACCTTTGCCCCTACCTCTAACATGTCAACAATTTGGACAGTCTTGATGATGGCAGCTGAATGTGACTGGGAAATTCACCAAGTCAACATCAAGAGCACTTACCTGTATGCAGAGCTCAAGGAGGAAATTTTATGTGTGTGCCACCAGGGTATTTAAAGGAGGGAGAAGAGAGGAAGGTGTTGAGGCTGAACTAAAGCAGACTGGGTATGAGTGGGCTGAAGAATTAACAGGAGTATTCATGAAGCTGGGTTTCAAATGTTCGCAGGTTGACCAGGCAGTGTATTTCAAACATTCTGAGGATGAACACACCGTTATTACCATCTCAGTTGACGACATGGCTGTAACTTCCAAACATCTATGCCACATCACCCTATTCAAGGACCAGGTCACCCAATACTTCAAAATCTCACACCTCAGCAAGCTCAACTGGCTGCTGTGACTCAAGGTTGAGCACAACCATTCCACCCGCACTATTACTCTCTCTCAAAGGGCCTATATCAACACTATCCTAGAATATTTTCAGCTCTCAGGTACCAAAGCCACCCAGACTCCAATGGAAGTAGGTGCAGTTTTATCTGATGCACAATCACTAGCAATGCAGGTGCAACATGAAGCCATGAAAGATGTACTGTACCAATGAGCTATAGGGTCACTGATGTATGTGGCTACTAGTACATGCCCCAACATCACATTCGCTGTTGTGACACTCTCTCAATTCATGTAAAACCCCAGTACTACTCACTAGGAATCCACCAAGTGGGTCCTTCGATACCTCAAAGGTATAGCTGACTATGGAATAACCTTAGGAAGCACAGATGCTGGACTAGAGGCCTATGTAGATGCAGATTGAGTGTCTCAAGCCCACCACCACTCAATGTTGGGATATGTTGTCTTGTTGAATGGAGCACCAGTAGCATGGAGCACCAGAAAGCAGCCTATAATAGTGCTTTCTACAGCCAAGGCTGAATATGTCGCACTAATCACATTCATCTGGGAGATATGTTACCTGCATTTCCTTGTTAGTGAACTACATTACACCTCTACCATTCCCACTCCTGTCTACTGTGACAATCAAGTGGCTATTGTGCTTGCCTTGAACCAAAAGTTCCACTCTGGGACAAAGAATATTGACCTTTGTTTCCATTTTATCTGTGTGCATGTTAAGAACGGCAACTTCAAGCTCATATATTGCCCAACAGACAATAACATCGCTGATGCATTTACCAAGGCTCTACCATGCCCATGGCTCCAGAAGCTACATGGCCTAATGTTAAGGTCGTGCTCAAGGGGAAGACAACTCAAAGGGCTTCGGCTTCAGCTCGTGCGCTGCGCCCCTTACCCGAGTATGTGCCCTTAATTTCTGAGGGGCAGAGGGGAAGTCTGACAGAAGTCTGGGGAAGTCCAGAGCTCAGACGTCAGGGGAGTTCAGCAAAACTCTGGAAGATTATGAGAGAATGGAGTAAGGCTACTATGGACAAGTCTGGAGTAGAAACAGAACAGAGTTTAGACTACCCTAAGGTAGAGTCAGAGATTTAGTCCTAAGGTTTAATCCCTAAGACTCGGAGGTAGACAAGAGATGAGACTCAAGTCCGGAGAAGCAGGAAAGAGCAGAACTAAGATGGAGAGTCAGAGGTATAGTCAAAGGAATCAATCCTAAGACTCGGAGATTGACAAGAGACAAGCTTAAGTCCAGAGGTACAGGAATGAGCAGGAGCTAAGATGATATTCGTACTGAGGAGTTCTGGAGTATTACAGGAGTTTATATACTGTAGGTATCATGTAAGTAAATCAGTCAGCAAAGGTAAGAGCTATGTACAAAGCATGTGGAAAGTCTATTACTAAGTATAACGGATCAAAGCAGTGAAGTCGGAAATGAAGTAAGAATGGACGGATCAGTAAGCATAGTGGAATAGGACATAACCAGTAACCGGAGCAATAGCTAATCTAAAAGGAGTTAGGGGTGAGTGGAGAGATGAAGGCGGAGCGCCGGGCGGAATAGTAAGACAGAGGACCGGACTTCAATGAAGTAGATCCGGAATTCCAGATCCGGAGGTACGGGATATGACAATTAGTAAGTGTATAACGGATCAAAGCAGTGAGGTCGGAGATGAAGTACAATCAGATGGATCAGTAAGCATAGCGGAAAGACATAACCGGTAGCCAGAGCAATAGCTATTCTAAAAGGAGATAAGAGTGGAGTGCTGGGCGAAATAACAGGACGGAGAACCGGACTTTAGTGGAGGAGATCCGGAATTCTGGATATGGAGGTACGGGATATGACACCTAATGTGCTTGGATAGTGCTCAAGGGGGAGTGTTTGAATCCAGATTGAAGGCCAACGGTGAGACACCAGAGTGAGACATTGCAAGTGCTACCCAAATGCATGAAGGAAGATAAAGTGACATTGGCTGAGGTATACAATATGCAACCATTTATTTTATCTATGCTATCTTATATTACCTATCGCTATGCTAACTACCTTAAAGCTATGTGTCATACAAACAAGCATCTCAGTCTGTTTCCCGAGACTGAGATGTGAGTCAAAGTCCCCCATTTTCATTATTGCATCAGAGCTAACTATACCCATAGAATATATTTGTTCTAGGTACATTACTAGACTTACATCAAGTCTGTTTCCTAAGACTGAGTGACGTAGGATCAGTGCTGGCCAGTCACTCTAGGAATAGCATTGGCTAGCATATTACAATTAGTGTGCAACATGCAGAATCTGTGCTGGCCATATTTTTATAGTATATTACAGTATGAGCCTATTGAGAGGCTAATATCCTATGATGTTCAGGCCAGGCTAGTGTTAGAACCATGCATAAAGGGTAGGAAGGAGTTTATGGAGTGTCATATCCCAGACCTCCAGACCCAGAATTCCGGATCTCCCCTACAAAAGTCTGGTTCTCCGTCCTGTTGTCTGCCTGGTGCTCTGCCTTCATCTCTATACTCACAACTATCTCCTTTTAGAATACTGTTCTCCGGCTACCGGTTGTATGTGTTAGGTACCGTGCTGGCTCAGGAAGCAGAGGGGTCAGGGCTTGGCTTCAGCTCTTGTGCTGTGCCCTTAGCCAAGTATGTGCCCCAAATTTGGAGCGGGTCTGACATTGTCCGACGATAGGACAAGTGGACTGCTTAGGTCCGCTTTGAGGGTCGGGAGGTAAGAGCTACTAGCGGCGGACTGACTAGGAGTGGAGTGGAGAAGACGGAGGATAATGGGGAGGGTGGAAAGGAGCTGGGGGAATACTTGATAGGAGCAGAGAAGGTGGAGGATAATGCGGAGGGCAGAAAGGAGCAGGGGGAATACTTGATGGGGGTGGGGAAGTAAAGAGAAGACTTAGAGCACGGCTCTAAGTCAGAGCAGAGGGTCAGGGGTGACAACAAGGTGAAACTTGTGTCCAGAGGAGGCAAGGTCCTACTGAGAATTCTCACAAGTAGTAACTGCGAGAAGACAAGTAATATTAAGACTGGGGAAAATATCTAAGTACAGGATATGTTATATACTTCTATGTATGAGGCAGTGATCAGGATAACTATGTTGTAAGGCTATGTACCAAGGATATAGTTTGTAAGTACTTTACACAGGCGAAGACATAAGTTGGAGCGGATATCAATATGTACGTGTTGGATCAGTTGATCAAGCGGTAATAGGAATTACCGGTGATCTGGAAGTAAGGGTCTATGTACTGAAGGGGAAGTATATATTCAAAAGGAGAAAGCAGATCCAGTTGAATGGAGACATTATGGAAGGGGACCGGTTGGGCAGTCAAGCGGGAGCGTAGGGGCAGATGCAGATGATGATTGGGTGGAGCGGTGGATGGATGGAGCAGAGGGGGTTTGAAAGCGGAGCAGATATCAATATTGGAGCGGTCGGATCAGGTATATGACAGACTATGAGGGACTAAGTCCAATGTAGACAGTAAGGCAAAGGCTGTCAGGAGACAGAGGCAGAGATTTGCAAGATTTAAGTTGAGTTGGAGGTAGTTAGCATAGGTTTGAGTCTATATTCATATTGTAGAAACACTACCAGAAGAGCCCCTTCAGTGACAAATCTCATACTATACGGGTCACCCGACCTACATAATATCCCGTGTAATACGGGCCAGCGGATTATGGGCCAATGTTATGTATATTCCCGATGTTGACAGGTGGGCCAGGAGAAATATTATTTCCGATGTTGACAGGTGGGCCCATCTATGCTGATGTTATATATATCATCGACGATGGTGGATGGGCCGGGAGAAATATTATTGTGGAGATGGGTGGGCCCATGTGGGTAATATGTAGAGTAGGATTGACATATATTATAGACCTGAGGAGAGATGTATAGCAAATATTATTATATAGACGGGTGGGTCGATGTATTACTATTATTTTGTAGACGGATGGGCCGAGGGAGCGGTGGAATATTTATTACATAGATGGGTGGGCCGACATAGGGAAATATTAGATAGATGGGTGGGCCGACATGGGGTATTATTAGGTAGATGGGTGGGCCGAGGGTGAGGCGAATTATTTATTACATAGACGGGTGGGCCGACGTAGGGGTATATTAGATAGACGGGTGGGCCGAGGGTGAGGTGAATTATTTATTATATAGACGGGTGGGCCGAGGGTGAGGTGAATTATTTATTACATAGACGAGTGGGCCGACGTAGGGAAATATTACATAGATGGGTGGGCCGAAGTTGGGAATTTTACCTAGATGGGTGGGCCGACGTCAGGTAATATTAGACAGATGGGTGGGCCCAGATATGTATCATATAGACAGATAGGCCTAGGTATTGGTATACTATATCCACGAAAGCACTGAAAGAGAACCAGAGAGCTGCCTCGTGTCGACTCAGACTCAGCGACGAGTGATACTAATAAGATCACAGTCACGTTTCACCACAGTGCTGGTCAATCGAAACATCTTCGTCGAGTAGATAGATACCAGAAAGCCTGAATACACCATGTCTGACATTCACCAAGTAACGAGTACCAAGTACTGAACCCTGAAACCCAAAACCCAAAACTGGAGCCCCGAACACCCAGACTGGAGACTCGAGAGAGACTCAACTCGAAATTCAAACCTCAACTGGAAACTCATACATTTTTACAAGTTTCGAGTTGAGTACCGACACCCGACACCCAAGTACCGAGTACCAACACCCAAGATTCGGTACTCGGTACTCGGTGATTCGAGTCTCAAGATTTGAAACTCAGATTTATGCGAGTTTTGAGTTTCAAGATTCAAGGTTCGAGATTCAAGTTTCGAGTCAAGTACCGACACCCGACACCCAAGTACCGAGTACCGAGTACCGACACCCGACACCCGACACCCGAGATTCAGTACTCAGTACTCAGTGAAATGTGTACAGAAATACAAATGTAAGATGATACACACGAATCACCGAGTACCGAGTACCGACTCGGATCTTAACCTATTGATGTCGTGAGACCATGGATAGACTCCCCTAGACAAGGGCTACAACTTTGATTTTCATCGAAAAAGTTCCCACCATCTACAATATCAAGTCCTGAGCACTGGGCACCAGGCACTGGGCACCGAGTACCGAACACTGAGCACTGAATACTTGGTACTCGGTACTTAGTACTCAGTTCCCAGTACTTGATACTCAATGCTGAATATCTTGGTACTCAACTGAGCACCAAGCACCAAGCACCAAGCACCGAGCACCAGGCACCGGGCAGATATTTATCTAAAAAGTTCCCACGGTCAAAGTGCTTTCTTGAACACTCCATTTGCAAGTATTTTGCTTATATCTTACTAGGATCTTAACCTATTGATGTCATGAGACCATGGATAGACTCCCCTAGACAAGGGCTACAACTTTGGTTTTCATCGAAAAAGTTCCCACGGTTGAGAATATTGAGTACCGAGCACTGGGCACTGGGCACTGGGCACTGAGCACTGGGCACTGAGCACTGAATACTCGGGACTCAGTACTTGATACTCGATGCTCGGTACCTACTCAATACTCAATACTTGGTACTCAGTACTTGATACTCGATGCTGAATATCTTGGTACCTACTCACTACTCAATATGTACCTTAACACTTTTGAACCCTTCATTTTCGAGTATTTTGCTTATACCTCACTATGTGGGGTATTATTAGGTAGATGGGTGGGCCGAGGGTGAGGCGAATTATTTATTACATAGATGGGTGGGCCGAGGGTGAGGTGGAATATTTATTATATAGATGGGTGGGCCGACGTGGGTTAATATTAGATAGATGGGTGGGCCGAGGGTGAGGTGAATTATTTATTACATAGATGGGTGGGCCAATGTAGGGAAATATTACATAGACGGGTGGGCCGAAGTTGGGAATTTTACCTAGATGGGTGGGCCGACGTTGGGTAATATTAGACAGACGGGTGGGCCCAGATACGTATCATATAGACAGATAGGCCTAGGTATTGGTATACTATATCCACGAAAGCACTGAAAGAGAACCAGAGAGCTGCCTCGTGTCGACTCAGACTCAGCGACGAGTGATACTAATAAGATCACAGTCACGTTTCACCACAGTGCTGGTCAATCGAAACATCTTCGTCGAGTAGATAGATACCAGAAAGCCTGAATACACCATGTCTGACATTCACCAAGTAACGAGTACTGAGTACTGAACCCTGAAACCTGAAACCGGAGCCCCGAACACCCAGACTGGAGACTCAAGAGAGACACAACTTGAAATTCAAACCTCAACTGGAAACTCATACATTTTTACGAGTTTCAAGTCGAGTACCGACACCCAACACCCGAGTACCGAGTACCGAATCTCGGGTGTCGGTACTCGGTACTCGGTGATTCGAGTCTCAGGATTCAAAACTCAGATTTATACGAGTTTCAAGTTTCAAGATTCAAGATTCGAGTGTCGAGTTTTGAGTTGAGTACTGACACCCGACACCCGAGTACCAAGTACCAAGTACCGAGTACCGAGTACCAACACCTGAGATTCAGTACTCAGTACTCAGTGATTCGAGTCTCAGGATTTGAAACTCAGATTTATGCGAGTTTTGAGTTTCAAGATTCAAGATTCGAGTTTTGAGTTTTGAGTTTCAAGTCAAGTACCGACACCTGACACCTGAGTACCAAGTACCGAGTACCGACACCCGACACCCGAGATTCGGTACTCGGTACTCGGTGAAATGTGTACAGAAATACAAATGTAAGATGATACACACGAATCACTGAGTACCAAGTACCGACTCGGATCTTAACCTATTGATGTTGTGAGACCATGGATAGACTCCCCTAGACAAGGGCTACAACTTTGGTTTTCATCGAAAAAGTTCCCACGGTCTACAATATTGAGTACCGAGCACCGAGCACCGAGTACCGAGCACTGAGCACTGACTACCGAGCACCGAGCACCGGGCAGATATTTATCTAAAAAGTTCCCACGGTCAAAGTGCTTTCTTGAACACTCCATTTGCAAGTATTTTGCTTATATCTTACTAGGATCTTAACCTATTGATGTCATGAGACCATGGATAGACTCCCCTAGACAAGGGCTACAACTTTGGTTTTCATCGAAAAAGTTCCCACGGTTGAGAATATTGAGTACCGAGCACTGGGCACTGGGCACTGGGCACTGAGCACTGGGCACTGAGCACTGAATACTCGGGACTCAGTACTTGATACTCGATGCTCGGTACCTACTCAATACTCAATACTTGGTACTCAGTACTTGATACTCGATGCTGAATATCTTGGTACCTACTCACTACTCAATATGTACCTTAACACTTTTGAACCCTTCATTTTCGAGTATTTTGCTTATACCTCACTAGGATCTTAACCTATTGATGTCATGAGACTATGGATAGACTCCCCTTGACATGGGCTACAACTTTGATTTTCATCGAAAAAGTTCCCACAGTCTATAAAATTGAATACCGAGCACCAAGCACTGAATACTCGGTACTCAGTACCTACTCGATACTCAAAACTTGGTACTTGGTACTCAGTTCCCAGTACTTGATACTCAATGCTGAATATCTTGGTACTCAACTAAGCACTGAGCACACTGAGTACCCACTACTGAGCACCAAGCACCCAGGTATGGGGTCTATTTCTATGTATATTGGTAGTAGATACATCATATAGATAGACCAGGACACCTACATGATCCTTCCATAGGAACAACACTTGACAAATCACAATTGTGACATTTTGATATGTTTTACCACCCTACCCTTACACAGATTATCCAAGTTACTCATAGACTGTCATTATTACATTTATTATGCTAAGGATCAGTGATATTTAGGCCGGAAATTTGAGATCTGATGTAAAGGGGATATTTCTACTGATCAAAAGCCCACATGGTAAATGATAGCCTTAAAGACTTAGAAAGATCCATCCAGGATTGAGTGAATGACAAGCAAAACAATATACGTGTGAAAAGTGACAATTGACATCTGTTCACACAAAGTCACATTTATATATGATACAGGTTGAAGATTTCATTAAAAATGTGTAGGATACATGGTGGACTACCTAAGGAACCTATACTGCATACTGCCCTGAGGGTAGAGTGTTGGTGGGAGGGATGTGGCATAGAAGTGTTTGAATTGGTTGCCCATAGCCAAGGATACACCAACTGACCATTTTCGATGTTTGGGGCATTTGAGCTTTGACATTTCCCACACTCAATTTCTTATCTATTTCACTTCCCCAGCTCTCAATTCCTGGTGGATCTTTCTGTAATTTTAGATCCATCATACTGAATATATGTGAAATATACTCTAGGTGTCTGATCATTAAAGTTCAATAATTCAGAGATATGGGCCTTTTATCAGTAGAAATATCAAGTATATACACCATCTCAAAGCAACAGCATATTTTGAGCTGATCCTGGTCATGAAAAGCAAGTATATATGCTATGCTAATGATATATGAATATATTGGATTATTTATGCAAGGATAGAACAATCAAAAACATGAGAAATGTGAAACACATGATTTATCAATTTTTGTTGCTGTAGAAGGATTGTGTAGGTGTCCTGGTCCAGTGATATGATGTATCTGAGGGAGGGTACACTATACAGGTACTTGAGTATCAAGTAGGTACCGAGTACCAAGTATTCAGTGCTCGGTGCTCAGTACTTGATACTCAGTACTCAATACTTGGTAGTCAGAACTCAGTGCTCAGTGCTCAGTGCTGAGTACAGAGTATTGAGTATTGAGTATTGAGTAGGTACCAATTACTGAGTACTGAGTGTTGAGTATCAGGTAGGTACTGAGTGCCAAGTATTCAGTGCTTGGTGCTTGGTACTCAATACTCGGTACTTGATACTAAATACTAAATACTTGGTAGTCAGTACTCAGTGCTTAGTGCTCAGGTGAGTACCAAGATATTCAGCATTGAGTATCAAGTACCAAGTACCAAGCATTGAGTATTGAGTAGGTACTGAGCATCGAGTATCAAGTACCGAGTACCAAGTATTGAGTATTGAGTAGTTACCGAGTACTGAGTATTCAGTGCTCAGTGCTCGGTACTCAATATTCAGTACTTAATGTTCGGTACTCAATACTCAATACTCATTATACTAAATGCTCAGTAGTCAGTACTCAGTGCTCAGTTGAGTACCAAGAGATTCAGCATTGTATACTGAGTACCGAGGTCTGAGTATCAAGTAGGTACCAAGTACCAAGTATTCAGAGCTCGGTGCTCGGTACTCAATATTGTAGACCGTGGGAACTTTTTCGATGAAAACCAAAGTTGTAGCCCTTGTCTAGGGGAGTCTATCCATGGTCTCATGACATCAATAGGTTAAGATCCTAGTAAGATATAAGCAAAATACTTGCAAATGGAGTGTTCAAGAAAGCACTTTGACCATGGGAACTTTTTAGATAAATATCTGCCCGGTGCTCGGTGCTCGGTAGTCGGTGCTCAGTAGTCAGTGCTTGGTACTCGGTGCTCGGTGCTCGGTACTCAGTGCTCGGTGCTCGGTACTCAGTGCTTGGTGCTCGGTGCTCAGTTGAGTACCAAGTACTGAGTACCGAGTATTCAGTGCTTGGTGCTTGGTAGTCAGTGCTTGGTGCTCAGTACTCGGTGCTCGGTACCCGATATTGTAGACCGTGGGAACTTTCTTGATGAAAACCAAAGTTGTAGCCCTTGTCTAGGGGAGTCTATCCATGGTCTCATGACATCAATAGGTTAAGATCCTGGTAGGATATAAGCAAAATCCTTGCAAATGGAGGGTTCAAGAAAGCACTTTGACCATGGGAACTTTTTAGATAAATATCTGCCTGGTGCTCGGTGCTCGGTGCTCGGTAGTCAGTGCTCAGTCCTTGGTACTCGGTGCTCAGTACTCAGTGCTCGGTACTCAGTGCTTGGTGCTCAGTTGAGTACCAAGTACCGAGTACCGAGTATTCAGTGCTTGGTGCTCGGTACTTGGTGCCCGGTGCCTGGTGCCTGGTGCCCAGTGCTTGGGACTCGATATTGTAGACCGTGGGAACTTTTTCGATGAAAACTAAAGTTGTAGCCCTTGTCTAGGGGAGTCTATCCATAGTCTCATGACATCAATAGGATAAGATCTACCAATATATTCAGCATGAGTACCGAGTTCTGGGTATCGAGTACCGAGTGCCGAGTGCTGGGTTTCAGCACTCGGTACTCAATGCCCGGAACTCGGTACTCGGCACTCAGTGCCCGGAACTTGGTGCTTGGTACTTGGTGATTTGTTCAATTTATGAAATGTTGTATTTTAGTTTTGTGTTTCAGTGCTCAATGCCCAGAACTCAATGCCCGGAACTCGGTGCCCGGAGCTTGGTACTAGGTACTTGGTGATTTGTTCAATTTACAAAATGTTGTATTTTAGTTTCATGTTTCGGTGCTCGATGCCCAGAACTCGATGCCCCGAACTCGGTGCCTGGAACTCGGTACTTGGTGATTTGTTCAATTTACAAAATGTTGTATTTTAGTTTCATGTTTCGGTGCTCGATGCCCAGAACTCGATGCCCGGAACTTGGTACTTGGTACTTGGTGATTTGTTCAATTTATGAAATACCCGCAAGTCGATATTAGTTACCTGGAACTCAATATTAGTTACCCGGACATCAATAGATGTTACCTGGCCCGTGGATATGATATCAACCATCTCAGCCCACCCGTCTATATAATATACTACTACCTCGGCCCATATGTCTATATGATATGTATCTGGGCCCACCCGTATATGTGATATCCAACTACCTTGGCCCACCCATCTATATAATATCTAATCAATTGCTCTCTTGGCCCACCTGTCTATATTATATACCCCCATGTCAGCCTACCCGTCTATGCAATATATGACTACCTTCGGCCCACCCATATATATAATAAATATTTTACCACTCCCTTGGCCCACCCATATATATAATAAATATTTCACCACTCCCTCGGCCCACCCGTCTACAAAATAATACCAATATGTCGGCCCACCCATCTACAAAATAATCTTAATTCATCGGCCCACCCGTCTAATATGATATATATCTGGGCCCACCTGTCTATGTGATAACAAGCACCCTTGACATACCTGGCTATTTGATACACATCTACCTTGGTAAACCCATCTACATAATATCCAACTACCTTGGCCCATCCGTCTCTTGAATATTCATGTCCATCGGCCCACTCATCTACTCTACATATTCCCTACATGGGCCCACCTGTCTCCATCGGGAATAATAACACTCCCGGCCCATCCATCATAGTCGAGGATATATCTACCTTCGGCCCATGGTCTGCTGGCCCGTATCATATGGGATATTATGCACGTCCGTTCACTCGTATAATACGGAGATATGTTACTGCAATATGTGACCGGTCCACTTCTAGACTAGGAACCACTCAACTGGTCCTACCTCCTTTTGGTATCATAGTTCCTCCTTTCAGATCACTGGTAATTCCTATACCAGAGTGATTATTGATCCATCGTGTACATACTGTTCTCCGACCCCTTTCTCATATGTCTCAGTCATCTTCTAGTAATTCTGTACACTCAGCAACATAGTCTTCTGCTATGCTATGCTACTTACTTAGAGTATATAAACATATAAACATCTACATGTAGATCTTTAGTCTGAATATTACCTTTCCTAAGCCCTGCTCTTCTGTCCTTTGACTTAGGCTTAACCCAAGTCAACTCCTGTTTGCTGGCCTAGGGGATTGACTCCCTAGGTCGGCCACCTTCTCTGCTCATCTGACTTCCTGCGCCTCTGCCGCCTTTCCTGCATGTCGGACATGTGGCTAATACTCTTGTACCTCTCTCCTCTGTATTTCCATCCTGTGTCAGACTTCATCCAAGCAGTCTCCTCCGCTCTGTTTCTGCTGTTAGCTCCGACTGCAGTAGCCCTCCGACTCTCCCCTGTAGGGCAGACCAATCTCCACCTGATGTTCCTGCGCTTATCTAGTAGTCCATCAGTCCTCCTTCGGAGGACCTCTGCTCTGACGTCCTGTTGGAGCTTGTAGAACTCGAGTCGGACTACGATCAGAAATTAGGGGCACATACTCGAGTAAGGGGCACAGCATATGAGCTGAAGCCAAGCCCCTCAGACTCCATCTTACCCCTGAGCACGGTCTTAACATTAGGGTTGAATGTGCTTGTTCTCAAGTGAGGCAGCAGGCAGCAAAGACCCAACTTTGTAGTAGATCAATTTCTCGCTGCTGCACTTGTTGTACCCACAACGGTGAGCCAGACAAAAATTGGCATCAATGCCAAGAAATAAGGCATATAAAAATCTGGATCTGTGTGAGAGCAAAGTCCAGGGGAAAAGACATCATTGTGCATACTGTATTTCAGATGGTGCATTTTCCTATCTATCTGGCAGGTTTTTGCCGGCATGTGGACATGCAGGACACAAAACAGCACATGCACCTGGTTCAGTTGGTACGATGCCTTCAGGGTAATGACCTTGACCAGCACATTGCATCTGCTTGATGAAGTGCCACTCTTGCATCATGCACAACATAGCCTCATAACAATGCTAGATTGTAATATGATGAATTGAAATAGAATTAGAACTAGAATTAGCACATACCTTTGGTACATGAATTCCTGTATTGTCCATCAAATGGGCAGCCATTTTGTAAAATTCAAACATGGAAACTTTGGACTTGAAAGACAACATCTGAAAGTATTCCAGTGCCTGAAACATCACAGCTATTTTTGGATCAATTGTTATGGCAGGAAAGAGGTGAACACGTAGTAGTTGAATAATGTGTGGCTGGGCAGATGCACACCCACAGAAATCTAACCCCACTTTATAGATACCATTGTAGTTGATGATAATGAAGTCATTGTTAAAAGCAGAGAGTGGGCTGTCACAACAAACACCAGAAGTGTGTCCAATTTGCAAATGGATCCCCATGGACTTCAAGGTAATACTGTAGAATGAGATACCATCCCAACACTAAGTTTAAAACACAGAAGAGTCAGTTGATGTAAGGAATGTGAGGTATCTATGTACATACCTGTTAGAGACCATGCTCGGATGGAGAAGCGGAAGGGGTCAGGGCTTGGCTTCAGCTCTTGCGCTGCACTCTTAGCCGAGTACGTTGTAGGAAGCCAATCGCTACTGAGCTAGTATCCCCTATCTTTCTGATCCTCTCCGACCCACTTCCCATGCTGCCGCTCCACATTGACGTCAGCCGATCATCAGCCCAGGGGGTCATGATCAATCCAAGTCGGACATTGTTTGCACACACAATCGGTCACTGTTCATCGTCTCATGTCATTGGCCCATCGTCTACTGGTATGTATATCTCTTACTTTGATTGCTTTCCATCCCCATTCGCATAATCGGACCGCTTATTGGCCTTTTATCGCCCCACCTCACACCTTATTACATGGACACAGAGAAACAAGTATTTAGCAATCCATGAGGCATTTTAAGCGACCTGAAGTTCCCCTTCATCGCTTAGTCTTATTTACTATATATTCCACCCATGTTCTTAGTAGTTTCTCCAGCAAATTCTCACTTGGATCGATTTCTTGTGTGATTTCTCATTGAGTCGTCGGCCGACTCTCTTAAATGTTCGCTCATTGTACTACACACACACCTTCTCTATTCCACTCATTTATCACTCGGGTCCACTCAGGACCGCTCCACTTCACTCTCTCTTTGCTCAACTTCGATCGGCCAAGTCGGCATTAGCATTGACTATTAAAGTTGGACAATACAACTTGTTGTTTGTGGTTTGCATTGCACTGCTTCCCCTATAGGGTCGAATGCACTTGAATTGGCTGCAGTCGCACTGATATCACAGTAGCAACCGAAACCCACAATGTGCCCCAAATTTGGAGCGGGTCTGACAATGTCCAATGATAGGACGAGTGGACCGCTTAGGTCCACTTTGGTGGGTCGGGAAGTAAGTGCTGCTAGTGGTAAGCCAACTAGGAGTGGAGTGGAGGAGGTGGGGGAAGTTTATTGGGATGGAGGGGAGCAAGGGGATTGATTGGTCGAGTCGGAGAAGTATGAGTGAATACTTAGAGTGCGGCTCTAAGTCAGAGCAGAGGGTCGGAGGTGATGACAAGGTATACTTGTGTCCAGAGAGGGAGCAAAGTCCTATGGAGAATTCCCACTAGTAGAGACAGCAGGAAGACAAGTAATATTAAGACTGGGGAGTAGCTAAGTACAGGATATGTTTTATATACTTCTATGTAGGAGGCAGTGACTAGTTAGTCCTTGGTATGAGGCTATGTAACAAGTATACAATTTGTAAGTGAACACAGGCGAAAAACATAAGTCAGGGCAGATATCAATATGTATGCATCAGATCAGTTAGTCGAGTGGTTATAGGAAGTACGGTGATCCAGGAAGTAAGTACTGTGCAAATGGGGAAAGGAGATTTACAGTTGAATGGATGATGCGGAAGGCAACCAACAAGGTGGTCAAGCGGAGCCATAGGAATGGATGTGGGAGTTGACTGGGACAAGCGGAGGGCAGACAGAGCGGAAGTGGTAGGAGAGCAGGGGAAGTATGATTGTTGGGCAGAGCAGATATCAATAAGCAGAGCGGTCAGATCAGGTATATTACAATACCTCTATTTTTTGAAGTGGCTATCTTTCATGTACACAGCCATGCACAAATGACGGAACAACTTGGAACTGTGACAATCCTGACAATGATATATTGCAGCTTCCTTGCCACAAACACAGATGTCTTGTGAATAGTCACCTTGACCCTCCAGATGAAGGAATTCCTCCAAAAACAAGTTGGCATCGGATTGCCATAAGCACAAGGCTTCACCCTGAACCCTGGTGTGTTCTTGCTTGGTGAATTCTACAAACTCTGATGTGTCATTTTGGAGGTTATCAGGAAAGTCATTGAGAGTTGTAAAGTCAAACACTGTGGTCTCTAGTAAGACTTCTGATTCTCCACAATGGTGTTTCCCTGGAGAATGTGGAACTGTGTAGTAGGTTGAAGAGACATTTAGTCAGCCACTTGATCCTGCTTCAAAACTGCTGTGCTTGCATTATTGAACATTGTGAGTGTGTTGAGGTGCATCATTGGTATTGTTACTCACTGCTTTTGAAGCAGCAGCATTGTGCGCATAGAAATTGCACTGGTATTGCTTCAGGGCTCGCTGTCTTTGACCTCCAACCATTGGATATTGTTGTTGGTGTTACTGACTCAGCTCATTCACACATTCAGCTGTGATGGTGTCATATTAAAAATTGTCTGATATATCAGCTACAATCTGCCAACTGAGTGAGCCAGTTAACATTGCCTCATCATAAGCTTCAACACCTCCTGCATATATTATTGATATGACTTCCTTTTCTACTACAAGTTGTCTCCCCATCAAGTCCAGTAGTTCCTGGCTCTGTTTCAACAAGAGGTAATATCCAGTCCCAGATGTACATCCAAGTTGTTGCACAGCTTTATGTAACTTGGTGGCATGCCCCTGCAGACCCAGCATGGCAACACATGAATCATCCAACTCAGGGTGAAGCATACTCCAACCCTCGTCATCCACTCTCTGGAGCAGGTATCATGTAGGTAAATCAGTCAGCAAAGGTAAGGGCTATGTATGAAGCATGTGGAAAGTCTATTACTAAGTATAACAGATCAAAGCAGTGAAGTCAGAAATGAAGTAAGAATGGACGGATCAGTAAGCATAGCGGAATAGGACATAACTGGTAACCGGAGCAATAGCTAATCTAATAGGATTTAGGGGTGAGTGCAGAGATGAAGGCAGAGCGCCGGGCGGAATAGTAAGATGGAGGACCGGACTTCAATGAAGTAGATCTGGAATTCTGGATCCGGAGGTATGGGATATGACATTCTCTGACAATGCACAAAGTGCATCCCAGCAGGACTAGCCCTGCTACCTCTGCCTGACTCCACTCTGCTCCTCCGACACTACCCCTATTTCCTCTGACACCATATCCCTACCCTCTGACCCTATCTGGAGATCCACTCCTCCGCTCCATTGGTCCGACCAATCCTCCTCCTACTCCTACCCCCTCCACCATCTCCGCTTTTCTGACCCACTCAGTTCCTCCAGTTTCTCTTGTATCGCCTCACCCGACTATTAGTCCGCCCGACCGCTTCACCGGTCCACTCCTAGACTAGGTACCACTCAACTGGTCCTATCCCCATTTAGTATCATAGTTCCTCCTTTCGGATCACCGGTAATTCCTATACCGGAGTGATTACTGATCCGTCATGTACATACTGTTCTCCAAGCCTTTTCTTGTATGTCTCAGTCATCCTTCTAGTAATTCTGTACACTCAGCACATAGCCTTCTGCTATGCTATGCTACTTACTTAGAGTATATAAACATATGTACATCTGTCTGTAAATCTTTAGTCTGAATGTTACGTTTTCTAAGCCCTGCTCTCTTGTCCTTGTTCTCGGGCAAAACCCTTGACAACTCCTGTTTGCCGGCCTAGGGGATTGACTCCCTAGGTCGGCTGCCTTCTCTGCTTGTCCGCCTTCCCACGCCTCCACTGCCTTTCCTGTGCATTGGACTTGTGGCCAATACCTTCGTACTCCCATCCTCTGTGTTCCTGTTCTGCTTTGGAACTCATCCGAGCAGTCCCCTCTGCTCCATTTCTACTGTTAGCTCCGACTGCAGTAGCCCTCCAACTCTCCCCTGTAGGGTGGACCAATCTCTGCCCAACGTTCCCGTGCTTACCTAGTAGTCCATTGGTCCTCTGAAGGAGGACCTCCACTCCAACATCCTGTTGGAGCTAGTAGAACTCGAGTCAGACTACAATCTGAAATTAGGGGCATGTACTCGGGTAAGGGGTGCAGCATACAAGCTGAAGCCAAGCCCCTCAGACTCCGTCTTACCCCTGAGCACGGTCTTAACAGACAAGGTGTATGTAGTTACATGGCAGTACGATAACATAAACCACTCACTGTATAGTTGGGTGTCATATGAGCCACACTTCGGGACAGACATGTACATAGACAACATACAATCCAAATGGACCAATTTTGTTGCAGATCATTGACTCTGTTTACATCCTGCTGAATACTATGAAAATTGGTGGCAGACTGGTAGGCAAGTGTCACAAAGAAATATCCAGCCATGCAATGTTTGGTGTTCTTGCATGAGAAAAAGAATGTTCCTGCTAGCTGCTTTTCAACATCCATCTGCTCCATCACTTTTCGACTTCTCATTCAATCAGCTACAGTGAACGCAACTGCAGACTTTCTGACACCTGACATGGCATGCAGCCCAATGAGTTGATTCATCTCTGGGTCATCTAGTAGTCTGTAGATGTAGTTGAGATCGACCTGGGTCCCTTTCAAACATTTTGGATGGGGCTGATGTTCACAGGTGTTGTATTGAGCACCCTTGATAGTGACCAAAGACAGTTGCCCAAGTTCCAGCTGTGAATGCTGTACACGTGCCATACTTACACACTGTCATATCCATGATCTACACAAGTCTCTTCCACCCTCAGTTGGTGTCCTCCGCCTTCATCTATGCTCCTCCGCCTCTCAATACATATCTCTGATGTCAGGTACATTCCTCCACCCGACTCAATCAAGGTACAAGGCACCTGTCAGACCATTCCAAGTTTCTTTTGTACATTCCACTTTCTGTCTGGTCCTGGTACCTTGTATGATCTGACTCTCCATTCCAATCAAACCTGTTGTACACTATGGTACATTGTACCTTTAGTTATTACTTTGTACTCCACTATGCTGTGCTGCATAGCCCAGCATTTCTATACTATATAAATCCTATGTATTCTGGTCACATATTGCAGTAACATATCTCCATATTATACGAGTGAACGGATGTGCATAATATCCCATATGATACAGGCCAGCGGACCATGGGCCGAAGGTAGATATATCCTCGACTATGATGGATGGGCTGGGAGGGTTATTATTCCCGATGGAGACGGGTGGGCCCATGTAGGGAATATGTAGAGTAGATGAG